GACCAGAACAAGTACAGATTCCTGTTGGCGGATCACCAATATCATCCTTATTATTTGGAGCAACGGGAACGTGCAGCTAAGGAACGCGCGGAGCGGGAATCATCCAGAGGCTCTGCCGCGGTTCCGGAAGAAGATGATGAAAGTGCTCCGCCGCCGTTGCCGGCACCGGCGGAACCGCCGACCGGATATGTGTCTCTCGACGACGAGGTCGAGGAGTCGGGAGAGGAGGAATTTGGAGGAGATGATGACAGTTTTTATCCCGACGATCGAGGTGGTGGTGGCGGTCAGCCGTTGAGGCTGAAGAGCAGGAGCCGATCAAGGAGTCGGTCCAGGCCGGTGGAACCGGTGAGAGCTGTGGTGAAACCGAAGGCCACTCCGCCATGGAGGAGACCGGGAGGAGTTTTCGGTCCGGGAGAGTCATGGCCGGGTCGAGTGCCGGGTCGATTTCCTTGGTCCCGCAATACGAAGAGAGTGAGTGTCATGCGGCGCTCCAATGTGGACGAAGATGATGACATTCGGCCACATCCTGAGTCGGCCAGCGCGAGCGGCCGAGGACCAGCAGGTGAACATGTTTGGAGCACCGAGAGGCGGCATCGAGAGTCCGCGCGGGCCGAAGCTTTGGAAGAGCTTGCTGCAGGCCGCGGTTGGGACTGCCGCCAATGGGGCGGAAGGAACGTCAAAGCACGGCTGACGTGCTATAAGTGCAGCCGTGCTCGAGAGGGCACATGCGAGCAGGACAGCTCGGATGATGTCGTGACAGAGGAGAGGATGTATTTCGCCAGTTCAGTCGCAAGCCCAAAAAGAGGGGCGGGCGACGGCATCCTGGCAAAGGCGACCGCAAGAAGCGCAGCAGAAAGAAAGTGCGGAGGCCTGGTTTCTCGAGCCGGAAAGGCCGGAACAAGAAGGCCCATGCTGAGCATGGCAACCAATTGAACCTCGTTTATTGGGGAACCATGCTTGCCCTCATCCCTCTTGGTTACAAAGGTGTGGTCCAGATTGACAATGTTGTGGAAGATGTCATGGGGAGTGTTTCGGTCAACACGGTCCTCTTAGTCGACAAAATGGGTTCGCAGGGAGTTGCTCTTGTGGAGACTATGGGGCTGTTCCTGCGGGCTACCTTGATGAGCATGTTCGTTGTCCTCATGACGTGGTGTGGTTGGACAGTATCCCGCAAGTGTAGGAACAAAGCCATGCACCGACTTCACGGCAATATGCTTGGGGAAGGCCAGAGGACCAAGAAATTCATGACAAGGACGGGTCATGTCTTTGTGACAGAGGAGTTGGTCTTGGGACGGAATGTTATGAAGTGTACCTGCAAAGCGTTCATTGACCTGGGTACGGAATGCCAGCACATTATCGTGGCCAGGCAGCGATGGGCCGACCAGCCGCTGACCGGCGGTGTGGCGTCGACGATAGGCGAGGATCGGGCTGGGGGCGCCGGAGAAACCCTCCCGGCGGTCCCCATTCTTGATGAAGTGACCAGTCCGGGATTTTCGCTAAGGTCGCGTTCGGCTCCATCTAGGAGTGAATATGTCGAAGTCGGTTGCCTTCAAGGCCTAGTGAGTAAGGCTAAGGAGCTGGGTACCGGGAGTAGGAATAAGCAACCGAGAGTGGCCAGTGCGGAGCGGGATGACGCTCGCGGGCAGAGTTCAGGTTTGGTCAGGGACGATTTCTCCGTTGGCAACTTCGGAGGGAGCTGTGTTGTATTTGCAACAGGTGCTCAACGACATTCGTAAGGAATCGAACCCCCCGGGATCGTTGCGATCTGACCACCTTTCCAGGCTTAACGCGGCTGTGTTCAATCTTTCCGGGCGAGGCGCTGTGGATGGCGCTTTGGCGCTCAAGGTCTTCCAGACCGTGGATAAGATTCACACTGCATACAACGCGGAGAAGTATGACAACTCGGATTCTGCCTTCTTCAGTAACTATTTGGCCTTGCTGGGCACCATGCAGAATCAGGTCTTCTTCAGCCAGAAGCAGAATGAGAAGTTTGTGAACTGGATTAAGCTAGCCGTCGATGGGAGCGGCAAGCTGGTTCACTTGCTAGACAAGGCGCTGGAGACTGAGAATGAGAAGCTGCGACTGCAACTTTCCAGGCTGGAAAGATCGGATGAGCCGAGCCGAAGCAGTACTGAGCCCAGGTCCAGGGCCGGATGAAGGGTATAAGGAATTGGCCACTGCCCAGTGGAATAGGATAGGGAGCCCCCGCAATTTGAAGAATGGGGCTGTTCCCACAATTAAGGATGAGAATGCTCTGGAGTTGCATTCCCCGCCGCGGCTGGAGGCTGCAACTGGGGGCGACTGCAGATCTTGGCATTCTCATGCATGATTTTGTCATTGCAGCCATAGGCATTAGGTTTTGGTAAGTGAGCTATTTTTGCTTGAGGTTGCACGAGTAAACATGTCTTGCGAGTTGACATGTCCACCTTGAGGAAGTTGGAGTGGCGTGCCTATTTTGGCTCAAGCCACATGCGCACGGTGAATGAGTGCGCTGCCTGTGAAAACAACGAGCCGCTTCGCGGGTGTGCCAGAGAGTCGGGACACGGGTGAGACGTGGATTCTGGGTTAGTCCTTGGTTAGGATTGACGCCTCTCACAATACATACATACATACATACATACATACATACATACATACATACATACATACTTACATACATACATACATTACATACATTACATACATACATACATACATACATACATACATACATACATACATAGATTACATACATACATACATACATACATACATACATACATACATACATACATTACATTACCTTAC